AAAAGCCAAAGAAGTAATGACCACTCTGTTAATAACTTGGTCATAACAAAGGAATAACAGCAGCATATGAGGGGATTTCCATATTTTAATGAGGCAACACAAAACCAAATATCATTCTGACTGTGTGTTCAGAGAGGGTCTCCTGGTGAAAATATCTACAGATCTAAAGGAGAAAGTTATTGAAAAACTGAGGTAGATAGGGAATCATGATGATAATTTTCCTCATCTCTCCTTTAGAATAATGTCACTTATCGAAACACCTCACAAAAGAAAAGTGATATAAATAGAGATTTTGCACAGATCAGTTGCAGCAGTTGTAAATAAATGGCAGGCCCGTGTACAAAACATGAAATTCTATTTAGTAAAGTACAGTTGTATCAAAGGGAGTCAAGTGCATAGGCTATCCATTAGTATTGCAAGACATCAATCCACTGAAGCAAAGTTGAAGACGTTTCCACATTAATTTATTATTTCTTCCAAATTTTATTTTTATCGCCCTCAGTCTTTCAAATGATTGTTATCTGTTTGGGGAAAAGTAGAATATGATTTACAGTAAGTTACTGGTGTCATAATACATATATACAAGGAATATCCTCAATTAATCTTATGGTGGCATGGTTCAGTTTTTGAATACTGGGTAATGGTCCTGTAACATAGTTCTTTCAAATAGTTCTGAGGTGTTTGTGTGTATATGTTCAGTTTATTCAGTCTTTTAAAAGCAGACCAAAACAGAAGATATTTTTTCATTTTACATAGTTTTATCAGCAATCTTGGCACCTTTACTCCCTGAAAGAGTGGAGTAGCTTCACTATCTCTGCATGGCCCCCTTCATCTTTGTGTCCTTTTCCAGCTTGCCTTCACCTACCCCCCATCTCTTATTTAATACTGAAAGCTTGATGCCAGCCTCCACCACCAACTCAAAAGGCAGTTAGTAGGTCATCTCTGTGCTTTCTGCTATGCTATTCAAAAACATACAAAAACCTCCTTTCTCTTCGAATCCCTGCTTTGGCAAATACTGGCATCCCGTTAGGGCACTGTTCCCAGCCCCATGATTGACCCAGGTTGGCCAATTGTTTTCTCTCATTCTGCACCTTGCCTCCATCTGTTGTTTGGTTTTCTCATATTTAAATTAGAAGGTCTTTGGGGCACAGATTGTCTCTTTTGGCTGTGTTTCTGAGTATGTAGCACTTCAGAGTCCTGGTCACTGATCAGGGGTTGAAAAGTTCCCAATGTAAGCTGTCACTCTCTGTATGCAGCAGCATTTGAAGGATTGTAATGCAAGTCTTTTTACAAAGAGGATGTACACCTTCATTTTCAACCAACCAGTTCTATCTTCTTCTATATCAGAGTCATAGTTGTTACCCTACTGCTCCCACTGTCTGAATCTTTTTAATCCCTGCAATGCTAGGTTTCTTATCTCTGCCTACTCTTATTTCTTGCTGGCCTGAATTAGTTCAAATTGCTTCCATGATGCTTAATCCCATGCAGGATGTCTCTGAGAACCACAGAAGGGAACAGGTCACCACTTTACAAGGCCAATGCCCGTAGTTCACCCTAGCACAGAGTAAAGGTTGCAAAAAATGTGCCTCCGCTTTTGGGCTGAAACTGGGCAGAGATGGTGCCTAGTGATTTCATTATCACTGGGAACCAAACAAGAATGTGATGTAAACATGGAGTTCTTAGTAGTCATAACTCAGTAAACTCTTAACCTGAGTAGGTGATGATTTTTATAGCTTTTGCAACTGGGCTAAAATTGGAAGTTTTTTGCAAAATTGGTAAAGGGCATATTCAGGATGCTGTTCTTCTAAAATGAATATCCTTGTCTAAAAGAACACCCAAAAGATTTGCTAAAACCTCTGAAATAGTTTTTCTAAGTCTTTACCGTGGGTTTAAAAGACACGTATAACACATTTTTTTCTGGCTTGATCTAGAAAATGGATGATATTTTCAGCTAACAGTTTCTATATGGTAAAATGCAGCTCAAAATAGACCAAGTAACATGGAAATATAAGCCAAAACAATGAGTCTGACAAAGTTAGAGACAACTGAAAGCAGGACAAAAAATTTTATTAGGAACGGAGAAAGTTAACTGTGGAAAAGCTAGAGAAGTATCATTCTACCAGAGTTCTCCACATTTCTTCTTCATGATATTTCCTAAGGTTGAGAATGTGTAGGGGTGAAAAAGGAATTATTTTTTTCTTTTCTTAACTCTATATCACTATGTAGCACTCGTTATGTCTTTTGCATTTGTATAGTTTGAACAGGGCATCTAAAATTCGTTTCTGTAGGTATTTGGAAAATATAGTCATTCTAATATTAATTCTAAAAAGTAGTGTGCTAATTAGCTTCTAAATCACAATCATATAGCATTCATTGTTCTTCCTTAATCCTCGATCTTCAGTCAATTTCTTAGATTATTTAAAAATTTTCCGTTCTGTTTCAAAAATATTTACTATTTCTCTTGCATTTATATCTTAATAGTAAAATAAGTTTTAATATATTACATTAGATCTATTTTTCTATTATTTTCTGTTGCCTACAGCTAGTAAAGGTAAGTTTTTAACTGTTTCTGAGTTTTTAGAATATATTTATTATCAGAACTTCTACTAATATTTGATTGACAATATTATTTAGACTGTTTGATTCACTTACAACAGATAGTAATGTCATGATTATTTTTTAGAATTAAATCTAGCAAGTATGTATATTTTAAAATAAATATTTTTGCTTATTACCAAATTATCCAAAAACAGATTCTGCTTTTTAGGCTCTATTAGCTCCAGTAGGTCACCTTCTGATAATCTAGATTATTGTATCAGACTGTTGACTCTGTGTTTCATTTGCAACATCAAATGTCCAGATTTCAAATTATCGAGAGAAACATCTTTTATAATTGTGTAATTAACCAGAGGAAAAGGTCGAGCCAGTTAACAGAGGTCCAGCTATGTTTAATTTACAGGAGAGCAGTGACTGAAAGAAATATTAATCCTATTTCTTTTCTGTAATCTGCCTTATTTTAAACAATGACTTGATAAATCAGATATTCGTATAAGAAGGAAAACTTACAAGAAATGTGTAAAACAGTGACATATATTAAGCAGACTGGATCTGAAAAATGTTTGAGAATGTGTGCGTGGATCATTTTGGGAGCTATAGATAACTTTACATCACAGCTGAATACTTTCGATAACGGAGTTGTGTTGACACCAGTTGTTTATCTTTGAATTCATGTGTTCAAGTAAAATTGATTCGCACTACTTAAGAAAGGACATTTCATCTAGCTATATTAAAAAATATAGGCTGAGTTTGTGATTACTGATAGGCTAGTCTAATGGTCATGGAAATAGTGTTGATCTGCATAATCACACATGCTACTGCTCCTTAAACCCTAAAAAATCTATTCTGCTGTTTGTCTGGGATGATAGCCTCATACCTTACACCATCGATGTACTGTCATACTGTTTATTTGCTACAACCACCTTGTTGAAATCTGTCACATGGATGTGACTCTTGCTTTGACAATGCAAAGCCAAGTGATATGAATTAGTTTCTGCATCTTTTCAGGATGTGATGCTACAGATCCTTCAGCTTGAATTAAATAATTCTTCCATCCACAAATACAGCTGAAAGTTGGACTTGACATGGATCAATATGATCTGGGGCTAAATTTCTAAATGTGACTGATTATGTTAGCATCATGCCCACAGATCAATATTGAGTTTTATTATGAACCTGACTCTATAATTGGGTTTAATCAATAAACTTTTGTCTCCTTTTCTTTAGAAATTTTAGGTTTGCCCTATGCAGGTTTTCAAAATTGCATTTAGGATACACTTAGATCTATACTTTTTTAGTAATGAATATAAAAAGACCCAAGTTTGAATTTAAAGGAACAAAGAGCTAAGACCCTATTGAAAGGGGAAGTCAATTTTTAAGTTGATAAGCCTGTTCACCCCAGTACCGTCTATAGAATCTGAGACAGCTAATGTGCTAATACATAACTAGTCCTTTTGGGCACTGTAAGGCTTTTTCTGTCCATACTTGATAGATAATTCACATTGAGGACTTTGACAAAACATAGCTTTAATGAAAGCAATCACTAGAGCTTCTCTTTTGATAAACCCGCGGGGTTTAAAGGCGTTGAAAGATGCAATCTGTGAAGAACAATAAATTTGGGCCTTTGATTGAAGTGCCATTTGGGATGGTATGTTTTCTCAATGTATTTACACAAAAATGATGCTCCCTTTTTCACTACTCTTTGCTTGAAGGTTGAAGGAGCTCTTTGCCATTACTACATTAAGGTTTGTCTCATTAAAAGCTGAGTACAAAAAGAAGGCTGGAAATGACCTAGCTCAAGCCAGTGTGTTCATTTCTGCTCCAGTTTGCCATTTGAGAAGTAGTGTTCAAGCCACGAAGAATGTTTCTGAGTGCTACTTTGATCTGCAGTAAATATGTTCTTCCTTATCAGAAAAAAATAAACACATAAATCTTTTTTTTTTGCAGTGGAGAAAAGGATATTTATTTGGTCATCTCACTAAAATTAGAAAGAGAGCCACACAAACCCAGGAAATTGTAGAATACGTTTTTTGTGCTCAGGAAATTGGTTTGTAAATTGTAATATTTGAAGAGCTCCACTAGAAAACAGTGTTTTCAGAATTATTTTAATGTGCTATGCTGTATTTTCAGGTACCTTTCTAAATTGCTTGGTTTAGTCTGTTATTCTGTGGCAAATTTAATTTTTTTCATTGTTACACTCCAGGGATTTTTATGGTGATAAAATATAATTCATTAAAATTATTTGTCAGATTATAAAATGAGAGTCTATAATTAGAGTTAACTGGAGTACATAAGCATGTGCTTATGTAGTTTATGTTACTTCTGTCTAATTTTATCGAGAAAGTTTACATGTTGAGACTTACATAACGTGTACGCTTTTGTTTGTAAATGTGCACACACGCTCACCTGTATTGTTCTGCACATTTTCTCCTTTTTATGAACAGATGCAGACCGTGGTCAGAAACATGGCATGGATGAGTTTATTTCTGCTAATCCCTGCAAATTTGACCATGCTTCCCTCTTTAGACTGCTTCAGAGCCAGACCTTGGATCACAGATTGAATGATTCCTATTCTTGCTTGGTAAGTACTGGCTGGAAGATAGACATGAAGTGAGAAATAGTTGTTACAAAGTAGTCCTTTCTTCCTAGTTCATTCGATAACTGTGGTTGTGGTTGGAACAAAGGATCCAATCGATTGGCATCACATTTGAAAATTATACACTTGTAAGCTGTTGCTGTGCCACTCAATAGAGAGGCAAAGAGACTCAAACTGTCTCTGATTTTATCAGCTGAAGTTTATCATGGCCTCTGTGGAGGTCTGAATAAAAACAGAAGATTTTAATAATGGCAAGAGCCCCTGTAATAGGATTTACTGACGCCTGTAGAGGCATTTTAAGGTACAACTGCAGACTGCCACATGTCAGGCAGTGTCATCTGTCTTGTAATTCTTCATTCCCTTGTGATCTGGGGAAGGAGAAACACCAAAAGACAGGAAACAGAGCCACAATAATATAGATTTATGAACACTTTTACACTGCCTGATTTGTAAGTAACAGGTGAGAGTATAATTATTAAATAGAAACAAGTAGCATGTGATCTCTGTTTCTAAATGAATGTCTTTCACATTTGAAGACAGCTATAAAAGAGTAGATATTGACATAACATTCTTCCATATTTATAGCTGCAATTCCTCTTTCCTTTGTAATATTTTCTATTCTGTGTTTTTTGGGGTTAGCAGTTGAGGATGGGGCTGCTTTTGATTCCATTTACAATAAGGAAAACCGGCAGTAATCCTGTGAAAGTCAGATTATACACACATGTTAAACAGGTTTGTGTAGATCAGACCTTGTAACTTCCTGAAGCTTTATTTTTCACCTGATAATGTCTGGCATAGGGATCTCTGACTAAGCGCCAAAAACACCTAATTTGGACTAATTCCTAGTCAAGTAATGTAGCACATATTTTTCACTTTACCAACCCAATAACAATAAATAAGTATAACTTTTTCTTCTTATTTACTTGGGCTGGCTAGTCATACAACGCAAAGATAACAATAATTTTTTAGGTTTGCTTGCAAGTATAAAATAAAAAAAACTTGGTTATTTGATGACAGTTGCTTCCTTTTTAAAACACTAACAGATAAGTATGTATAGAAAAAGTTAAAGGACTCATTTTCTGTCTGTGGGTTGCACACTGAATCAAAGAAAAGGCCCGAAGGTACATCTGTACAAAGTAATTGGCACTCAAAGAGAAAATGGTTAGCTTTCTAACAGTGCATTGGGGTCAAAATCTTTTTTTATAATAATAATATAGTAAGACACTTAATATAACCTTGAAATCAGGAACTTTCAGAAGAGGTTATTTGAAATACACAGTGCTATAGCAACCATAAAGCAGATGCATTTCTTATTGTTCTTTTTTAAATCTAGCTTTTAATAAGTAGAACGGGTAATCCTTTTTCTTGTGAAATTGCATATTTAACTATATACATATTTTTTATTGTTATATTGAGAATGCCAAGGTAGAAATAGATTATGTGAGCATATCTATAGGTGTGATATTTTTCCTGAGTAGCTCATTTCCTATCATTTAAAAATAAGTGTATCCTTATATTTCAATAAAATACAATCACACATACAACTTTAGCTAAAAAAAGAAAAAATGTTTTTAAGAATGAGAATTAAGAACAGTCTTTGATTAAACTACTCTCTGACCTAAACTTCTTTAATTTCATGTTCTCAGAGAGTGAGGAGCTTTTTTTTTTTTTGCAATTATGCAATAAATAGAAGCTATGTAGTTGTCTAATACTCTGTAGTACATAACTGTTAAGCATTGGTGAGAGTTATGCCTCATGTGGGGTTTGACAAGGGCAAGGAAAGAAATGCTTATATAAAGATGACCACACTAAAATAGATCTTTTACAGTGACTGAAATTAAAGTAATGAGATGTTTAAAAGTTTGCACTCCTGTCAGAATTGTTTTTTGTTCTAAAAATGTACAGAAGTTTTAATAAAGGATTATTTCCTCTTCGTATTGCTAAGAGTTGAAATGTATTCAGCTATTTGTTGAGTATTTCATAAAAATGTAGAAATAGGTCAGTTCATTTTGCTGATGAAGTACTGGCAGAATATCAGTCACGATAACTCCCTTTTATTATATCTGGGATAGGATGCATAATATCCCCAAAATTCAGTTAAAATTCCTTTTATTTCTTCCTTCAGCAAAATACTGTATTTTCCAGAAGACATTTTATGTAAACTCCATGAACCATTACTGCGTGACTGGATATTAATCTAAAGCGCTGAGTACTGTTTTCGATGCTCTAATAAAGCTAAATGTTCTCTAGAAGGAGTTGAAGCTCATTAATGGCATTGGAAGCATTAACTTCAATGGGGTGGCTCAGGACCAAACAGATTTATGGAATAACTTTAAGAAATCTTCATTAGCAAATAATATGTTGAATCCAAGAGCTGGGAGAGAATATAGAATTTAGATTCCTGTCTCATGCAACTCTTTTAGTAAAGGTAAACCATGAATGACTCGAACTTGATATGAATATATTTTTAAGAATGATTTTCTACTATTTTTGCTGACATTTTGTATAAATGTTAAACATCTGAGCTTGCAGAAGTATTCACAAGCAATGTTGAAATATAGTCTTCAGCTCCTAAAAACATGTTATAAATGCACGACCTGCAAAATCATGTTGCTTATTCAGGTTGTTTTTATATTTGAGTTCAGTTATTCCTCAATAACCTCTTTTAATCATTTGGCAGGGATGGAGAGAAGGAAATATCAACACAGCTTCAGGAAATAAATAAATAAATATAGCCACCTATTTAAATCTATCATGTAGTAGCTGCGGATGTCCAGGGCTTGTGTCAGGTTTTGTCTTCCTGCTGCTTTTTAGAAGTTTACTGTGGTATCTTTTGTCACCGTGGGAGGCAAGACAATCAGAGCTTTTTTTTTTTTCTATTGCTACAATAATAAAAAATTTCTTTATACTGTGGATTTATTCAAGAATGGTTTATTTGATGAGAAGGAGTTTGTATATCGTTAGTATATGTATCAGGATTATGCTGTTCTGGTCTGATCAAGCTTGTGGCCTCAAACAAGCCCTCGAATTTCCAAACAGAGTAGTGCCCCAGAATATCTAATTACAATTTAAGGACAAATCTTACTCATCTGACTCATGCAACTTTTAACAGGTGCCTGATTTTATAGCTCTTATCGTAAGATAAGTTGTTAAAAAGGCTGTGCACAAGCATGTTACATAAGAAACGTGAAGCAAACAGTCAAACTGTGGTTCATTTCTGAGGTTAAAGTCGCAGCCACAGGGAACTGACCATTCAGAAACTGTATTTTAGCCATTCATGTTAATGTGCCCTACCCAAATGTTCCCTCATAGCTTACCGTTAGTTACTTCAACAAAATTAATTATTGTAAGTGGTTAGTTATTTTATATTAGATAGAGTGTCAGATTTTGATATAATTGATTCTGTAGAAGACTTTGAAGGTATTAGCCTGTTTTTGTAAAATATCTAGTTCATATTTATAGTAACATAGGAGAACTGCAGATAGTTTCCTGACATTTAGTACTTTTAGCAAGAGGTCTGTTGTTGGATCTAGCCGCTCTAAAACATGCTATCAGCGTTAGTCAGCTATAAACCATTCTAGTCTAGAAAGTTTATATAATGCACATAAAAATAAAATCTTTTGTTCTTTATTTGATTTCAAAGCAGTGAGCGGAAAAAGAACTCCCAGGATGTGTTTTAACTTTTTGTCCTTCTTTTTTGTCCTTTCAGGGTTGGTTTAGCCCAGGCCAGGTCTTTGTGTTAGATGAATACTGCGCTCGCTATGGAGTGAGAGGCTGCCACCGCCATCTTTGCTACCTTAATGAGTTGATTGAACATTCAGAAAATGGCTCTGTCATTGATCCAACCTTACTCCATTACAGTTTTGCATTTTGTGCTTCTCATGTTCATGGTAACAGGTAATATAATGGGCAAATACATTTCTACGTTTGTAGCCTTATGATAAAGCAAAAATATTTTTAGGCTCTTGTGTTCACCAGATAGAGAAGTTGTACACTAGAAATCAGTTCATAAAATTTTCTTCAGGGGTTTTGGAGGTTCTATACAGATTACTAAAAAAAATCTCCTTTGAGTTTATGGTGTTTTTAAAACAGTGTGTTTTCTTGAGCATTGTATGGATGGGCTGATTCAAGGCAAAAGGACATCCTTCTGTTAAAAAGGTAGTCTTTCGCATTCTACATTTGTATTGTGTTAGTGAATGGTGTTTCCACTGAACATTCTGAACAATGTTACAGTTTAAAGGAAGCTTTAACTCTTTTTCTACAGTCTCTAGCTTGGCAACTAATCATATGATACTGAGTTCTTCTTGCTCTGCTACCATAGGGAGAAAAAACATACTGAGAATGTAGCATGACCCCTATCCAGGGGAAGCTGGAATACTTCTGCAATTCTTTCCACTCGAGGGATAGGCTGCTTCAGGAGCTGTTGGTCAGAGTGCTGCTCTTGGGACGATGTCTTTCTTCCACAAGAGAGTGAAGGACTTGGAAAAAATGTTGTTGACTTGCTGTGCTAAACATTAGCAACAGTCACACCTGTTCTTTAAAAGATGCCTTTGCCTCATCTATTTCCTGTTTCAGACTGTAAGGGAACTAGCACTGCTGTTGAACAGTGGGCGTTGAACATGAGATCATAGGATAGCTCAGGTTGGAGGGGAGCTCAGGAGCGCTCTAGTCCAACCTCCTGCTCGAAGCAGGGTCAGTTGTGAAGCCAGTCCAGGCTGCTCAGGGCTTTATCCAGTCAAGTCTTACCCAGTTCTGAACCTTTCTTGTTTCAGTTTAGTTGTGCCTGTTGTCTCTTGTCCTCCCACCATGCACCACTGGGAAAGATGACCTCCTAGAAGCTGCTGGGGGGGGCTGCTCTTCAGTCCCCCAAGCCTCTTCTCCAGGCTGAGCAAGCCCAGCTCCCTCAGCCCCTTCTCATAGGGCAAGTGCTCCAGCCACCAGACCACCATGATGGCCCTCCGCTGAACTTATTCCAGGTTATCAATGCCTTCCTTGTACTGGGGTGGGGGCTATCTATCCAATTATAGGACAACATGCATTTGCAGCCACACTGTACCACACTGAGTTTGTGCATTGATGTAGGAAGTGTTTTTAAACTAAAATAATTAAAAAAAAATCTCCAAGCAATCTCCCTCTCTCAACTGATCCAGTCCTGCCATGAAGGGAAAACATTCCCAGTCCCAAAAAGCAATTACTAGGATGCCCTCAGCAAATCCTCCAAGTGAAATCCTACTATAATCACAGTAGGGATCAGAGGAAAGAGAGGTTTTCTTCTCGACATGTTGTCCTGCAAGCAGTCAGTCACAGAGGCTATTCTGCTTATCCTCAAGCCAGTGAAGAGGATGAAATCCTTAAAAAGGACCAAGAATATTGTTTTCCCCATTAGCTCAGACAAAACCTTCCATCTGTGAGGACAAGAGCTAGGCATTTGTGACCTCAGTGATTTGCTAGTGGGAGAAATTAAAATGTTTTTGCAAGTGTCTGAAATATTCTCAAGAATCTTAATGTGTGCATATTGGCAAGACAGGAGGTTTTCTGGCTTTTCCTTGGTAACCTATTCTCTGTAAATCATGCTTCTTTTGTCAGTTCCTGGAGAACCTGACACATTCATATTTCCTATAGAGTCTATGTCTTTGTTGTTTCTAGCCTTTTTATTACTGGGTTCAACCCAACAAGACAATGCAGTGATAATTGCTCAAACTTATTTGAAGAATGCAAAAGAAAGGTAGATATATTTCTTTTTATTTCATAATTTAAGTGAAGGACAACACAGTGCAGTGCATGAAAAAAAATCTGAGGGAGCACATCATTTACACAGTGGTAAGCACTCTGTTTGTATTCTGTCTATTCCTTCTGTACAGATATTCTCTGAATAGCATTATGAGTGTTTTAGGAATAAAAGAAGTGTTGAACAGAGAGGGTCTGACTAGAACTGAGATATTGTAAAAAGAAAGAAAAAAGAAAGATGAAGAAAGAAGAAAAGTAAGTCAAGGACAGAAGCAGACACACTCACTGAGGATGACAGACATATATACACACATAATACATCCACTCATTCTTCTACCACAGCACTAAGGAATAGCAAAAGGGAAAAAAAGAATTTCACAGACAATGCATGACAGGCCAAAGTTCTAGGCTGATCCATGGTGTTATACATCTTAATTTTATAAGTCAGGCTGAGAATTGGAAAGACCACAGCACAAAGACAAAGCGTTTTATGCTCTGAACACGATGTATTCAATTTGTATTTCCCCTCTGCTTCACAGGGTCATCTTAGACCTTGCGCTAGCCTGAGAAAGATCATCAAAGATACATAAACTTGAAATCAGGAGGTGGAGGAGTGTATAGAAATGCATCCATATCTGCAGTTCAAAATCATCACTTTCTGTTAGGCATGAACTTTAGAGTAACAGGCAATCTAGTGACATCAATCAAATGATCAGATAAGATGTTGCTCACCTTTGTCATTTCTGTTAGTCGAGTGAGGAAGAGCAAAGGCTCAAAGCAAAGCAAAGCTACAGAATATACTGGGGCCATACCTTGACATATACTGAGCACACTAGTGGCTACATCCAATTTACTAAATAAAACTGGCCAGGAAGCCGTCTCATACAATGGACCCCTGACTATCCCTTAGTCTTTAGCATTCTGAGATCCCAAGCATGGTTTATGGGGTTGCATGTACTGAGGACAGCCCAAAGAAGCAGTGAACAAGGCTGAATCAGTTTTGGCTCTTTCCACCCTTCACATGTCTTCAGCATTCTTTCAGCAGATTTGAAACCCTCAGGTACCCCATATGTTCTTTCTAACACCCCAGGATTTGAAATATAAACTCTTTCAAGAGGCAGCAAATGCATCTCTTTCAAGATGTAGCTCTTGCAGGCTGCATCACAATGTCATGTTTTTATTTCGAAACACCTGGAATAAAAACATAAAAATGAATCATTAAGTCTTAGGGCGTCAGGGACAATGTGGAACACTGAGGAGATCTGGGCTGATCTGTGCGCAGCAGATCTTGCCATTTGGTCTCTGGAGCAGAGAACAACCCCTGACTGTTTTGTTTCCTGAGACAAAGATGTAGTTAACAAGTTCTGAGAAAGTTATCAAGTGTAATAGTACTTAACACGTTTCTTAGGTCAATGTTTTTGGTTTGGCAGCTGGAATGTTTATGCAGAGCCAACTGAAATATGCGATGTCCTAGACTGAGGATTTCAAGTTTCATTTGCATGTCCCCTTTCTTGCTGGGAAGAGCATTGGACTGGGCTAACAAACTGCTTACTTAACAATGGTATTTCTGTTTTTGTGCTTAACATGGCATTCGTAAGACATTCTATTCTTAAATAGCCACAGAGCAAAACCTTTTAATAAAAGAGTGGCTTACTGAGTGTTAAAACAAGCACATCCTTGTTTCTGAATCAAATGATCCCTTTTCCTCTAGTAAATAAAATCAGCTTTCCCTAGCTGTACTTCTGCAGAAGTGCTAGGTAACTTTACAATACAATCTCATTTTGTTCCTCTTCACACTGTTTTTCTTCTGAAATGTTCTACTGTAATAGTCCCCATCAAAATCATTAGTTCACAAGGCAACTTTTCCCACTGCTATTTTTCATATACTTGTGCATCTCTGGTGAAAGTGAAATGGGCAGAACAAAGAATGACAGTGTATGCTTGAAGGCTGGCGTTTTGGTCTAAACAGTCCAGGTAGGAGCTATTGTTTTCTTCCTCATCATCTTCACTTTTGTCTGTTTTTCATGCTGTGACTTCTATTCAGTCCCTCTTGTCTGAAATAGATGCTGGTGGGTAATACATGAAGTGCAAAGTGTCTTCTTTCCACCTGCTGAGTTACAAACGGAATTGAAAAATTCAAAACTCAAGCATATCCCCGTTATACCTTTTTTTATTCAGAAGGAAAGACGATTTATTGGAAGTTCATATATGAGAAGTGAAGGTGAAAGTAATGCTACAAAAATCTGTTGATAACGAAAGATAAGTACATTCTTTCTGCTCTGGTTTTGAAATCTTCAGCATGTGTATTTGAATAGAAGAACAGTCATACTGAGTCAGCCCAAGGTTTCTACTCATCCAGTAGCCTGTTTCCAGCATTCACCTTGTTGGAGTAAGAAAAGGGCAAGAACGTGTAATATTTCCTGAGTGCTCTTCCAATCTCCAACTCTTTGCAGCCCGGAATATTTCCTGAGCTAAATGTGGTTAATGCCTGTTTAGTAACTTGGAGCGAGCCTATAGTTTAGGTACTCATGCATTACACCCACTAGCCTGTGTAAACCCTTTGCATCCACAACACCCTCTGGCAGCGAGGTCCACAAGTCAGCTTCCTCTTGCATGAAGAACTCTGTGCCTTTTTTGCACTTGACTCCTTCAAGTCTCATTTTGTTCTCTGTTGGCCCTGGAAGAGATGGGGTATGGTGGGGGCGGGGGGGATCCTTCTCTATCATCTCTTTGATGTTTAAGATTTTGTAAACATCTCTTGTAGCCCGCTTATTTATCCTCCGCTTATCCATCCACAGCCATCTTGAGGAGTTCTGTTGTCTTCAGTTGTTCTTGCCCAGGGCTGTTCCATATTTTTGATTTCCTCATTGCCCTTGTCTGGAATTTTTCCACTACTATTAAATCCTTTTGAAATGAGAGGACTGATATACTTACCTATTCAAGAATTATGAGTGAACCATGCATTCATAATACACTCAATAGACTGTATGGATGTTTTCTGCTATTCCCTATTCCTTTCTAGTATTTCCTAATGTTAGTTTGATTTTTTTTAACCACTGCTGACCACCTTTTTGTGGAATTATCCATCATAATACCAAGATCTCTGTCTGGAGTAGCAAATGACCATCAAAGGAGACAATATGAGGTCAAGGCTGATTTTTCTTTACATT